CTGCTGTTGCTGTAAATCCATAAGCTAGAACAAGAAGTAGCAACAATTCTCACGTTTCAAGGGTGGGGGGAAGCCAGAAATTGATTTCTAGCTTCTAGGGCAACAACCCGCTACTTAGATTTATATGTTATGGAAAATAAATTTTGTGAGAATTGAAACTTTTAATGAAATTGATAATCATATTAAACTAAAATTATATATCATATACATAGATAACTTAAAATTATATTGTTGTATGTATGTCAATTTTTATTCTTAACATAATTATTATTACAAAATACTAATTTATATGTTTGAGAGAGTAATACTAGCATATTAATTCTTAGTTAATCTTATGATGCAGCCTTTGGGTGAGAGATTATGACAAAATTTGCTAAAAGTCAAGTTATATTATAAGGTAATGATAGGTTTATCCAATTTATCCGCACACTTTGTTACACCTTTTAATTTTTATTATTTTTCGTTAATTACATTTAACTTCGTTATTATCCTCTTCATCCATTATCTTCTTCCTCTTTCTTTCTTTTTTTTTTTTTTTTTTTCTCTCTCTCTCTCTCTCCTCCAAGAGAACCTAGATCTGAGTTTTCAGGTCTGGGTTCTTGGAGAACCCAAGTCAGGTTCCCCAAGAAAACCCGAGAGAAAGAAAAAACGAAAAAGAAAAAATGAGAAGGTGGGAACTAGTAAAGGGTTGGCAATTGTCTTACAGATGATTATGATAAGGATGGAAGTGAGGAGGAAGACGGATCTGGTGAGGACAGAAAGGGTTGGGTGAGTCAGGAGATCGTCAATGTATATAAGGAAATTGTTAAAGTGTGTAGCAGGGGTATGTAATGAGGGTGTGTAACGAGTGGTGTGTATGAATCAGCATCTTATATTATAATAGTTATAACAAATAAATATAGAATTCTTAAAATAAAAACTATTTTACTTGTGAGAATTTAATGATATTTTACATTTTACAACAAAAACTATCATTCACTATAACTAGAAAAAAATATTTTTTTATTCAAAATAATTGTTAAAGAGAGGAAAAAATTACCATAATATTTTATTAGACATTATATTAAAGAAAATTGGAAAGCAAAATATAAAATATAGAAGCTATTTGATTTTTTTTTT